TCACCCCGCTCTGCCGCTGCCTTTCTGGGCTCCCGGCAGCAGCGCTTCTGCACAGAGACCTGACTCGCAGCTGTGTTTTGACAAAAAAAACCCAAAACAACCCCCAAAAAAACCATCTCCCTATGCAGAAGTTTATGGAACGTGTCCTCTGCCACCTTCTGTGCCAGGCGGGACAACGTTAAGCTGCACCGAGGAATTACACGCCAAGTTGAGGCAAAGGGAGATTTGGCATTGCTTTTTCCACAGGTGCCTCTAGGCATCCAGTGGAAATGGAACCCGTACGTCGCTTGTAAAAAACCTTCCCCCATCAAGACCTTTCTGCCTCCAAATCAAAGGTCCGTTGGCCAGCGTTGTGTCCTAAAGCTGCAAAATGCACAAAGAGCCTGGATCTGAACTTCAAGGTGCAGTGAGAGTTGGGTGGTAGGGAAGCCCTGCTCATTCAAGGTTAATAAAAGAGCTGAATTTGGATCTTCCCTCAAAAGGGCAGGAGATGGTAGAGGCAGAGAGGTTTGGTTCAAGTCCATCTTTAGTCACTGCAGAAGCTTTCTCAGAGAAGAAGCCTCTGACTTGTGAAACTTGTGGACAGATCCGTTCAACTGAAAACAGCTGGTTGCTTTTGGTGATCTTGCTAGCCAGCTCCTAATTATTTTCATTTAAACGAAGAGCTTTTCTTCTTGCCAGCTCATCTGCTCTTCTTACTTTTTAATTGTAGAGAAGTCAAAATAAAGCAGGCTTTGACAATAACGTTGTTTCACAGAACAAACTACAACAGGGATAAAAACTATCCCATATGCTTCTGGTCATGCAAATCCGAGATCAGAAGGTAACTACCCTGATGGTATGCCTCTCTAGTCCCTTAACTATCAGCAGGGGCTAAGGAAAAAAGTCCTCTCAGCCCTTTAGGGTGAGTTGTTGATTCTGCCTGTCAGTCTCCATGGAGGAAGGAAGAGGGCCCTATATATAATGCTAAACCTGGATTGCGAGCAGTAGTGCACAGGAGCAATGCTACTTGTGAGTATCTCCACCAAAGTAGCTGGGGTTCTTCCACAAAAACACAGCTACGCTGAAAGTGGTCACCAAATGTAAGGACCCAGCAGTGACTGTGGGTCCTCTGCTACTGTTCCAGCACAGACAGAGGGGACAGCCCTGGCATAGACAGGTTTCTGGCTGCTAAAAGTATGATTTGTTAATCCTGACAGTGTATGTGTTTTGCTATGTAATATGGCAGGCAACAAAGTCCAAACCTAGCTAATACTTGGAATTGAACTGGTGTAAGCAGAAGTGGACTATTTTCAAAATAGGATTTTTCAAAACAGAATTTAGTCAGCAGTAACCTTCCCTGACTCCCAACAAGCTAGTGAGACATGCAGGTGGAAGGTACCACAGAAACAAACAGCTAAAACATCGGGATGAGGGCAATTAAGTGAGCTGGTTGCAAATAGGAGAGACATGTTTGATGATTAAGAACACTGCAAAGGAATCCTCAAGTCTTTGACTCACTCTCCTCCCCTTTTCTATAAATAATTTCCCTTTCCAAGCAGAAGCAAGACAAACTCTTGTGGTGAGCTCCACCTGAGCATCTACATCATGCTATACTGGGAAGGCAGGAGAAGAAAAACAGAGATTCCTCACTTGAAGCAGCAATCTGAAGTCTAGAAATTCAGTGCTTTGTTGGCATACAAGCCCACTCTCAAGTTGTGGAGGAGTCTCCTGTTTTGGCAAGGAGCCCATTACCAGGGTAAACCTCATGTTGGGGCTGATCCAGTGCCTGCTAAAGACAGGAGGAACATTTCCACTAGTGTCTGGGAGCCCAGAACGAGGGTTTTCCTTTCCACATAAGAGGTAAATGACCTCTTTCTTCCAAAATCTACCACTGTTCCTGCTCCAATGGCAGTGGGAGGATAGAGCCAGATAGACACTGCTTTTCTGTTTTATATAAAGCATCACCTGACCCTGTTCAATATAAGATGAGATGAGATCATGGTAAAAGCATCAGGAACTTTCCAAAACTCTCCCCATTGTTGCATTTGTACAGCTGCACCAATAGGACCCACAGAAGGATAAGGAGATGGCCTCCCACTGATCAGACAACATGAAGGATGCAAAATTTGATATTCCCCTTATAAAAAGGCATGTCCCCAGAGGAAAAATAGAAGCCTTAGTTATAAAATACCAATGTTTGTATGAGTGTAAACAGCTAGAAAGGGATCAGAGACTCCATGTACAATGCTGCTTTATCTTCTTGCAGAGGCTTCCATCATCACCATATCTGAGTTCTTCTGTATTTTCTCTTGGGTACTTTTTGGCACTGTGTTCTGCCTAGTTTCGAATTAAGCAATGATTCTTTTGCCTTTTATTTTGGGACTCTATTCCACAATTAATCCTAGCCAGCTTTTTCAAACAAGAAGTTCACATGTCAGGAAAATGACATAATTGTTTTTCTTTACAGCGTTCACGACGTGTTCATAATTTCAGTAGAAAAAGTTTGTTTTTCATTTACCCAAACCACATTTTTATAAATTATTAAACATTTATAGCCTAAGTAATTATGAGAACCCCGAAAAGTGTTGAAATCCTTAAACTTTTTCCTCATTTACTGAGCAGCACAACGTTCAAAGTCTAATCTTATTTTGACGGCAGAAGCCGCCATCTTCACACCTGCTTGTAAAGCACGAAGGTCAGGTTAACTCCAGCAAGTAATAACTGAAGTTTCAGGCCTGGAAAGCTTTTGGTGGTATTCAGCTTTAATTTTAAATTTCAACTTCCTGTTCTACTTGTGTGCTTTCTACAATCCAAAGTAATCTCTTGCTTTGTCCCTTACATGAACTGCACACACAAACGTCATGCACAGGTAATTATATCAATAATCTGGGCCATGCTTAGCTGTAGTTTCTTAAAGAAATTAAAAAACCTCCACTTTCTTTATACAACTTATTTTCTCCTTCATAAAGAAAAAATAATGGCTACTTGAAAAAATACACCATTCAGTAGACCTTTCTATTGAAATGACCCAAAATAATTATTATACTATTAATTTTCAGAGGGTTCTTCTCAAATAGCTGCAATGTAATGTCTTTAATTCGGTGCATTTACTTTAAGTAAGGTGATACAATTCACCACTCGATTTTACAGCTTCACTGGGGCCATAAACCCAGTGTCTCTGCCTCCAATACTCCTTCAGAAATAGAATGGAAATACTTTACTTGCTTATTTTGAAGATAAATATATGTTTGTGTTTCAGGAGCTGATGTCAGACAAGTCTCTGCCAAAACGCTCATCCCCTTTGTTAAAATGTTCCTAGCTGATGTGCTAGAAAAGTATCCAGAAATGAAAAAATCATTCTCCCAGAGCTGCAATTCTCATTAGTATTTGAGTACAGTATAGTCACATAACAGGAAGCTTAACACTCACATTTTAGAGGACCTTTCATGCTTTGCAGAGTGCATTTCAGGGAGTGCTTGCTTACTGTTGAAATATGGTTCTCTCTCTAGTGGATGCCATCAGACCAGTAGATTACACATTACAAGTCATTTAGGGAACACATTGCCACAATATACTATTGGTCAAAAATAGATCAGTCTCTGATATGACTAATATGAACATTCTTTATATACATTAGGAAGGAAATAGAATGAGTGTTGATTCCCATGCCTCAGAAAATCAGTCCAGCATAAATCAGTTAGGTCAGAAAAGAAAAATCTTCCTCTAATGAGCAACTATGGACTTCTTTCAACCTTCACCTATAATGGCCATAGTTAGAAATAAAGCAGAGACACAAACAACCGGTCTAAGCTAGGTTCATGCTGAAGAACAGGAAAAAAAAGAGTCAGAAGTGAACGGAATAATCATCTGTCCCAGTATAATCCCATGTCATATTTTGTCATGCAAATAATGTCAGATTAAATTGAATTTGTATTCAGAAGGACTAATCTGACAGATGTAACCCAGACTTGAGATGACCATTTGATTATGACAAGGAGAATATTACTTAAAACAGAGGCCATGGGGAATTGTAAAGTGAGGAGCTGGTTACAGGCATATAGGGAGGTTAGTAGTCTTTCAATGATCATCTAGGGAACAGTATCATGTAAGGTTTGCACAAATTATATCTAAAAGAAGTAGACAGAAGCATGCACATTGAAATTATATGACCTTATCAAGTTAGCATAAGATTGGGATAGCACGTAGGAAAAACTCAGGACCAAGCAACAGAAGTGGAGCAGAACTTAGTAAAGCAAAGTCACGTACTTGGGGATTAGTAAGAGTTTCTTTGGTACACTAGGAACTGAACCACAAATGACAAAGAAAGGAAAATGCCGAAGTATATTATTTAATTATGAACTGACATATAATCACATGTGAAAATATCATGAAGAAGGACAACATAATTCTGGGATATACCAGGCAAGGTATATCCCAGTCAACTCTGGGAAGTACCGTGACTATTTCACAGGACATTGGAGAACTTCTTTCCAGACACTCCCTATAATTCCAGTCACCCACATTAAAAAAAAAATAAAATAACTACAATCAAAATAAAAATTTAAACTGGAAGCAATGCAGAGAAGGGCTACTAAGGTGAATAGGGAAGTGGAGACACTACTTTACTAGAGAAGACTAACAGAGCTTGGCTTCTTTAGCTCAACAAACCAAAGGCTGAGAGACCAGATAATTGCTTTCTATATGGAGTCAGGAAGCAAGCGCTAGGGAAGAAAACACTATTTAAACTTCAAGTTGGCACAGGAACAAATAGGCATAAACTGGCTATTGAAACAATTTAGCCTGGATATTCTAAGAAGGATGCAAGTTGTCAGAGGAGCTGGTTGTGGAACAGCTTTCCAAAAGACATTCTCGGCTGTTGCTCCAAGCTAGTTTTAGATTAATGCTTGTTCGGACTGACGAAAGATTATGTGATGTTGGGCCTATGGCAGCAGCAAGGTGTCCACTTCAGCCCTGCCTTATTATTATTGACAGCAAGAATACTAGAGCAGAGTCACTGAAGGAGGGCCTCATACCATATTTAACATTCACAGGGAGACAGGAGATGTCAGGTTCTAAAAGCTCATTGAATTGCTGCACACTGAACAGATGCCATCAGTTTACCTGCTGTGAACTTGCACGCTGGGACAGATTATGGTGCTGTTGTGCCAGTATGGAGGATTCTCACCGTCTCTTCTTTCCTTTGCAGATGTTTGTGAGGCTTTAAATGTGACAGTCTCTCCAGGACCAACTGTGCGATACTCCGAGGGAGATAATGCTACCCTTTACTGCCACATTTCTCAAAAGAGAAAGACAGACAATTTGCTGGCTGTGCGGTGGGTCTTCGCTGCATCACCTACCCAGGAGTATCTGATGATCAAAATGACAAAGTTTGGGTCTGTCCAATATTATGGAAATTATACTCATCATTTCCACAAGCAAAGACTTCATCTTCTTAAAGAGAAACATGGAACTCTGTACAAATTTCTTATTCTAAGCCTCCAGCAAACAGATCAAGGACATTATATATGCAAAGTCCAGGAAATCGGCAAACACAGGAATAAGTGGACAGCATGGTCAAATGGCACAGCAGCTACTGAAATAAGAGGTGAGAGACTACTGATTTAAATTCTATCATTTTTCTTGTCCTGTGATCCCTGTTTTTCTTTTCTCGCAAGTTCATCCATAAGACATTTCAAGTTAGGTTATTTTTTAAGTGTTATCTGTGGATATGAGAAGAAAACCTAATACTCAGCTTCTTTACTTATACAATTTAAACATTATTCAGTCCATTTTAAAATGTAAAGAAGTGAGAAGATTGGTAGATTTGTAGAAGATAGTCTATTTCCATTGCCTTTTACCAGAATAGCAGTAATTAAAACTCCTTTACATTCAGCTACAGGTCTCTACAACTTTGCTAGGGGGAATAAACAAATGGCATTATTATTTAAATACAAAGAGACAGAAACAGAGAGAAATTAACTTATTTTCTGAAGAATACGTAGTGGGTCAGCCAGAAATAGAAGCATTATATTTTAGATCTATGTTTTGCCTCTCTCTTGGTGTTTTCATTGCTTTTAGTTCTAGTCTAGCAGTAGTTGGTAAGTAACATTTCTAGTATCACTTCTGTACTTCTGTTTATACCACTTGTAGCCAAAAAGCAGAGCTAGAAAAGTAGTGACCAGCCTGCTGGTATTGAACTTCAGAGAAAGAAATGACCAGCAATGAGTGAGGGTTTTGAACCAAGTTGAAAATGGGCCTTCTCTTCAGGATGGGTCAGCTCAAATCTAACGCCACCACACCCACACTTTCAGAGATGGGTGAAACTGGCTTTTCGAGAACGGACTCCTTTGAAGGAGTGGTTGAGCTCAGCAGTTGTGCCATTAGCTCTAGCTGGCAAACTAACCCCCTGCTTGTGGTTTTATAAACAGAAAAGTTGATTTCCCACAGGGCCAACTCTAAAGATAATGCTAAAAATCAAGTGTGACTGCTTGGTCTGGAAATTCAAGAGGTTCATCCAGCAATCGCAGAAAAATGGGGGAGAAAACTGTACTTCATGAAGTTTCTGCCATTGCTGTTGGTGCTAAATTTATTGTTGTGTTTAGACTGCAAAGGTTATTCCTGTAGCTGGGAAACCCTAATCCCATTTACCTTTTGGTGAAAGTGGCACTAGCTCTCCTCTGAAACCAGTTTTGCTCTGAGGGAACTCTGTTGACTACAGGTCTTTTCAAGATGGATTCAAACACATTTATGTAGTCTTAATCCAAAGCATATTCTGTCAATGCCAACTTCACTGGTGTCATTCAGCTTTCTATATCACTTTTGGATTATACACACACCAGGGAGACAAATGTGACAGTAAAAAATAATCTTTGTGAGTGTATGATCTCCTGTGGCTAGCTCTCAGGTACCACAAGCTTTCATTTTGATCTATGAGAAATATGAGAGTAAAGATGTGAAAAACACAATATAACAAGAGATAGAGAGCAGCTTCATGTTGACCAGCAATGTTTAAATCTGCCTTGAGAAATCATGGCATTAACATAATATAATTAGCTGATTATTACTAGCAATGATGAAAGACACTAACAATGCAAAGCTGAAATTCTGTTTAAATTAGCAGCAAACACCATGGATTAATTTTAAACAACAGCAAGAAAATCCTAGTCTAAACTATTTGGTCTTATAGGGTATGCAAAAGTTGTCTGGAAAGCCTCTAAGACAGTCATGTGGGATTTCCTCTGCTTCCTGGTTGCAGACAGTCAGAAATATAAATAATGACAGAGCAGGACACAAGTCCAAACTGGAACTCCAACCCGTTACCTGTCTCCACCAGGGAAAAGCCCACCCCTCCAGCACCCAGACCCCAGCTGTGTGCATCAGGCATGCTTCTTTTGCACAGAAGACCAGGGAAGCGGGACTTAAAGGAAAACTTCACCAAAGTTCATTAGACTCCTAAATACAAATCACCAGAGCATTCAGTACCATGGGTCAGAAATGTAATCCTGCAGCCTAATGTCATCTGTAATCCATAACCTGGTATCCTAAAGAAACCAAAGCCTACATTATCACACTATCAAGTAGTCTGCACCCTTTTGAATCCATGGGCTGATTTTAATGAGACAACAGTCTTAAAGATATTAAGGCTGTATAAGTAATGTGAAATTGGCTGGGGGGAGGGAGAGAAGATCTGCAAGAACTTCCTCACTGAAGGAAAGCTGTAAGAACAAAAAAGGTAATTATTGTTCTTGAGCTGCTATGTGCCCAGTGACCTTCCACATCACAGTCAGTAGTTGGGGCTCCTGGACATACCACAGGAGGAGGTGACCAGTACTAAGGTTGTTGTGGAGAGGGGAGCCATTAGGGTATGGGACACAGAATTCATTAGCTTCACAGCTCAAAGAACAGTTTCTTGTTTGATTTTTTGTTGCTGTTTTCACTCTTTTGTTTTTGAATGGGGAAGAGTAAAAACACTAGAGCCCAACATCTCCTGAACTCAGTCATCTTAACCTCTGGAGAGCATTAAGTTTTACAAGCGCTAACCCCATGTTGGGTGGCTGGAGCCAAGACACAGTGGTTAGTCTTGTAACCACACAGGGATAAGAACTGAAACTTTATTGCATGCATGATTTAGCCCTACAGACTTCAGGCATTAGCTTGCTTCATGCTCAGCAGTTGTTCTTCCCTGCTGTTCCTATGCTTGGCTAGGAACTGGCTCTCCTCCTCCTCTCCCTATCTCTTCTTCCTTCACCCCTTTAGATTTGGGAAAAGGAGAAATTCAGCCACTGTCAAGAAGGAACTGGCAAGCAGGAGGACTGATAACCCCAACTGCCTCAGCCTCTCACCTTTGGGAAGGGGCAAAGCTGGTGACTGGTGTGGGGAAGGGAAGCCAAGGCTCTCATCCCACCCTGCAAAGAACAAGTGGTTCAATTGCTGTGCTGGGGGAGAAGAGGAAGAGAGGCTGAGAGCAACTAGCAGGTGGTGTTACTTCCAGCAGCACCTCGAATGGATGGCCAGGGCTGAAGCTTGCAGGCCTACAAGCAGGGCTAGGAGGCCACCATACAATCCCAGAATCTCCTAGAGGATAGACCACACCTTTTTCCAGTGCTTTGGGGAAGAAATTCTGAGGATAACTTGAGGGATGGGAGCTAGAGAGGGCCAGGTCTGGTGTCAAGACACAGAGAGAAGCAGTGAGGGAGGAAAGTACTGTTTCAGGTGGGGGCTTTCTCTATACTGACCCTTCCCCTCAAATCCTCTGCACCAGACCAGGTCGCTGTCTCCAAGAGTAGTACACTGAAAGACAGAGTGGATAACAAGTAATGTGTTTCTTGCATGAAGGACTTGCAAGATAGACCAATAGATATACCCAAGGAGTGCAGAACAAGTAGCAGGCTTGCAAGGGAAAAAAGAAAAAAAAGAAAAATAAAGAGAGAAAATCAGATGGAGAAACATTTTTAGGATTTTCCTGTGATAATGTCATTTCATAGGGCAGGTCAGCATTTTAAAGTGTTTTCTCATTCACTGAATGATGGAATTTCTTAAATGCCTGTAGTGAAACATATGGATTTGTCAGGAGTGTTTGGAAAAGGAATGACATGTTCTAGGTAAATGGCAGCAGATGAAAAAGCAATATAAAAATATTGTTAGACCACCTGTCATACCCCTCCTCACAAAAAGCCACTCTGCATCCTTCATAGCTGCTCAGGCTATTGCTAACTATAACACAGAAACTTCTCATTGCTCTTCCTAGCTGAAGTGTGGGGTTCAGATCAATTTAGTTATTGCAAAGAAGGAAAACTAACTTTTCAGTCCAGCCCTTAAATACTATTCCTCCCCCCCCCCGATTTTCAGTATGATTTATGAATAATCAGGGTGCGGATTTGAGACTCATGACTTCATCTTTCTCACACTCTCTGGTCAGCTGTATTGCTTCTCTCTGCTTCAAACGTAACTGAAAGCAGAGCAGGAAACCTGAGACAAGGGAGGAAAGCACGGCCACCTATAGACTAAACACACTGACAATACACCCTGTGGTGATCTAGGACAGACACCACCACCACCACCCCAGCCATCCCAAAGGCATATTTATTCTAATTCTAAATCCAGAATAAAGATGCTAAAAGACATCTGAAAAATGACATATCTTTAAATGCCATAGCAACTGTTTTACTGCTAAAGGCCTCTTCACTGGAAACAAAGGACTGCCTTAGCTAGCGTTCAGTTAACGCACTGTGAGTGTACAGGGCTTGCTAGACGCGGGAGGGACGGCAACTCATTTCAGAGTGGTGATAAAGTCTCCAGTTTCCCCAATGGTAACAGTTGGACTTTTCAAGGAAATTTTCTTCCAAACACATTTTGCATTTTATATTATGATCGGTTACACTTTTTATTGCAAAGGGATTTACTTATATTACAGTTAGATCCAGGATGCAACAAAAGAAGCAATGCAGATTGCCCGAAGCATTTGGATACTTAAATTGTACTGCTTGTGCTTTATCAAATAAGGTAACAGTATTCAAACAAATCACAGTTGCTGTCTTGTCTAATATTTTGTTCCAGTTAATGTGTTTGTAGTTATGCCCAAATTCAAAGTAGTATCTTTAAGCTAAAGCACCGGGAAAATTTCTTACAACCTTGCACATCAAGTGGATGTGGAAATAGCATTTAGGTCCCTTTTTTTGTTCACACAGGAAGAAGAGGTCACTGTGTAAGACAGAAATTTCCAGAGGGAATGGAAAAGGGTCATTCTGCTTCTTCAAAATCTGACTTGCTCTTGAAACAGAAAAAACCTGGGGCAATTCAGTACATAGCCTGTGTCAGCCACCAAACATAGCACTATTCAAAGCAAAAGACCTTACCAGATTATGGCTGGGTCTGTAGTATCTACTGCTACTACCTCATATTCAGACTTTTTTTATTTGCTAGCAAGTTTGCAGGTGTGAATTTGTGTAGGCCATTAAGAAGTTGCAAATGCATTTTCTTACAACACATAAATTTATACAGATACACATACTGGAGTTGTGGAAAAACAATTGAGTTACAGGCTACAGTTCCTTAATGTGTAATGATGTCAGTTAAAAGTTTAGCTACATATCTGGCTTCTCCTTTAGGGACAGAATACATGTATTCAGAAAATAAGCCTCATCTGATGGGGATAAAATCATTAGTCTTCCATTCATGGAATCGTGTGTCAACTACAGCAACTTTGTAGTGTTTTCAGAAGCCCTAGCTAAAATTTGAACTGTTGCAGTTTGCCCCTTTAGGTGCAGTGAATACAAGACATCAAATAGGATTTATAAAAAGGCTGCTGTTAGATCTTGGTACTAAATCCAAGAGAAATCCATGTCCTGATGTTGCCAAGAAGTGTCTCCTACTCCAGTCATGCAACATCTTCTCTCTAAGCTAAGGTGAACCTTTTCCCCTTCCTCCATCTTCTTATCAAAGACATCTGTTCTTTTCCTGGGCTTGTGTGGTCAATGTTAGCCTAAAACCAAGTTAGTGATCTTCATTGTAGTACAGAATACACCAGAAAACAGTTTATTTGAGGGTGGGGGGGGGAAAAAAAAAAATCAGAAAGATGGTTCTCCCACTGCCTTCCTATCAGAAATCTCAAAATAGTGAGTAGTCTTTTCAGAACAATATGCAGCACCTCCAAACCATCATTTACAGTTGGGTAATCCCTCAAGCCCACTATGCAAGGTACTGCACATCTCTTAGGAAGAGCAATACGTCTTCCAAATGGTTTACAATCCAAGAGAAGAGACTACATGTGGGAGGACAAACAGAAAAAATTAGGCAGTCCAACTATAATCCTACTGGTATGGACAACACAAACAAGTAGAGATGATCACAACAGTCTGTCCTGTTAGGAAGTTTATGTGTCAGAGTCTCCCATAGAACAGAGTCCGAGTTCTGTTAAGTATTAGTTGCATGTTGTGTTTTCTACCAGTAAAAATGTTGCAAGATATAGGAATGCAAGATTCCCCTGCCCCAAATGAACAAACCCCCTTTTTCAGGGAAGGTATTCTAAAATACTTGCCAAAAATCTGTGTGTGATGTTTTCATGTAACAAATGAGTAGATTTGTTAAGATATTCAGGATGAGCTTCCTATCACAACTAAACATAAGATTTCTTTAGTCCTGAAAGCAGTTCCATATCCACTGAGTTAGCCCCACACCTCACATCCCTAGAGGGATCCATTGCACTGATTGCTAGCAGAAAAAAGTAATGGATTATCGTAAGTGAGATCATCTAATCTGATGTCATCAAAAAATGTCAGCATGCATAAACAATCTGGCTGAGGAGAGCAGAGAGGGTTTTGAACAGTGATCCAGCAGTCAGAACATTTGGATTCTGGTACTAGGTTGTGCAGCTGTTATGACATTGACATTTATCCATTTGCCCAGAGCTCTGCAGTCTGCTCCTCTTTCTGAAACAGAGAGAGCAATTCCGTGCAAAGTCTGCAGCTATTTTCCCCTCTTACTTCAATTAGAACACAGTCATTCAGTCAGCCCTTTTTCTAGGATATAAAGGTGAGCTGATACAATTTGTGGTCAAGCAGTCTTCCTTCTCAGGGAAAACCACCCCACCCATAGGCAGGGGAATTACTCCAGCTGAGAATTTAAGCTGTTCTACACTCAATAGTCAATGACCATTGATACAGCAGTGACAGAAAAGTTTACATTAATTAAGATGTTCAGACTAATCCGTTCCTACATCTAAGCCAAGGACACTGAGGCTAAGTAGATGTTTTCTGCTTCCCCGCTCAGATACACACTTTCTAAAGCATTTGGACATGCTTCAGAAAGTCCAAGCATGCACGGGTGGCTTTTTTGCCGATAGGCAGGTGTCATATCCATGTATCTTTAAAAGGCACAGCATAGAAGCCAACTTTTGAAGGAAGGAAGAAGAAAAAGAACTCATGAGCAGTGATCCCACTTTAATGGGTTGTTTGGGTGCTGTTGTAGGAATTGCAGGGCAGTTCAACACGCCAAGGGGCATCCACAAGAGCTTTGTAAAGAAGGCAAGTTGGACAAAATCAGGGGCCTACGGAGTCAGTCTCGAAGCTGGGGAAACACTATCGTATTGGCAGAGATTACTTCAGTGCCAAGCATTGCTGGAACAACTTCCTTATTTAAAAAAGCTGTGTCTAATGTGGCTGGCTCCAAATCAATTCTCAGGAAGCCTTCAGAAGTGTGCCCTTCAGTAAACCTACTGCTCTTACAATTTTTTTTTTCTTAACCTCTAAGACTTCAAAATAGACTATATTGTTAAAAATTCTTAATATATTAACTACAGGGGAAAATAAACTCCCATTCTCTTGAGCAAAAGTTATTTATCTCCTCTCTCAGAAGTAGCCTGCTTTGGGACAGAAACACAAATTGCAACCCTAGAGGTACAAGTTTGGGTAACTGAGAATGCAGAGCCAGAATAAAACCAGCTACATACAGCATTAACAGCAGCTTTTTCCCTGGAATACTCAGACAATCCCCACAATGCCATTACAGACCTTACAAGCACATGGCTGTCCTATTCTAAGGGCTAGGCTCTTCTAAAGTGTGTTTCTATCCTCTTGATGTACTTCACTGCATTTAACTTTCAATTGAAGAGCCACACATTGCATCTTCCCAGAATAAGATGACAACGGGGAGGCAGTCTCACAAGCCATACAACACTTGTGAGGGGTGCCAAGCCAGATGAGATTTGCTGGAAGACATTTTAATAATACTGTTGTATAACTGAAGTGTTTCATTGAAAAGTAATTATCCTGTGAGATAAGGCAAGATATTAGTGCACTGAAGCCTAAGGCAGAACTGCATTTACTTCAAGAGGTCCCAGCATTTTATGCCACACATTTTCAGTTCTTATGTCTTTTTTTCTTCTCAGTGATTTCAAAATCTTCTGATGATCCCACTTTCAAGAAAAACCATGAAGCTTGGAAGTTTTTTGAAGGTAAAGATACATTTAACTGCTACCGGTTGTATACAAGATGTTACTTTAGTTCAATGCTACAGTACAACTAAAGTGCCCCAATCAGGCCCAATTTTGCTAGTTCCTGTGCCAACTCAGGTCTTGCCTGAGAAAGCATCCCACAGAGCACTAGGGGTGCTGGAGAAAAGAGAATGGAAGGCTCTAGTTTCAGTTTCTCATACATCTGTTATGGTCAATGGGAAAATAACCTAAGCCTGGCTAATCACGCAACGCAAATAAACCCCCTTATCCAGGATGGTGCTGAGTGTGTCTGAAGAGGTATCAAGCACTCTACACTCCCACTAGCTTTAGAAACTGTTCACCAGACATGCTCTGCACTGCAAGAGCAGCCTAAAGCTCCCTTGAGTTTCAAGGCAAGCAGTATTTTCTGTGTAGATTAGTAAAAAACTGTTCTAAGAGACTGAAATCCACAATTTGCAGGCAGTTGGGATTCCCTCCCCCTGCCCCAATCCGGAGCATCAGTGAAGCACCAGCATGGCATTCACAGCCACTCTGCTGTGCTGCCTGCCAGGCAGTAGTGCTTGCTCGCAGGCTGGCCTTGATTCTGTGGGGACCCTTACTGTTTAAACCACAATTTACAAACTATATTGCTGTACTCTGTAAGGGGAACGAAGCACAGAACTGCAGGTCAGGGGTCTAGTTCCAGCAACGCTATTTTCTACAAGAACACTTGACCTTTGAGGCTTAGTTTCCTCTCTGTGAAGCAGTAAAGAAGCCAATATACCTCTCTAAGGACATTTCAAGACATTAATGGGTAGAGCATTCTTAAAGTACTCTATTTAAAGTTCTAGTAAAAGCAGAAATAAGTCATTAAAGATTTCTTCTTCTTCTGAACAAAACACTCCATCTTGATCTGCCATGATACAACTCCTGTCAGCTCCAGTGGGAATGTGTTATAGCACCTGAATAAAAGCCATAAAGGGAGACTGAAGCAGTAGACTGAAAAATAAAACAAAACAGAAATTTCAAGCTAGTGCTGCCACCAGAAGCAGCAATCACAGACTTTCTTCCTTCTTCCTCAGCCACGCAGCACTCCTCCCGCTGCCACTTTTTTTTTTAAACCAGTAGAGCTGTTTGAACTGGGAGTTCAAACTTCCAACTGAAGCCCTTTCAGTTTTTGGTTGCTCGTTCAAAAAAAGGAAAAAAGAGAAGAGGAAAAAACCCCTCAAACAAGCTTTCTCCTCCCTCTTGAAAGCAAGCCCTCATAACTACACCTATTTGCATTTATAGAGGCTTCAACAAAATTTTAAACTGAGCAGGATACTGTATGAAAGTTTCAAGGGGGTTAAATTACTTCTGAATTGTTACCTTAAATCTTATGGGCCAGGGTCTGTTTAGATCTTGTAGACATAACTTTTTTCTATCCTATAAGCATGAAGCATACAGCTGCAACACTGACCTTCATCTGTGCTTGGCTTTCAGATCTGTATGTGTATGCAGTCTTCGTGTGTTCAATAGGAATCATCAGTGTTCTCCTTTTTACACTTGTCATTCTCTGTCAGTCACTCCTGAACAAGAGGAGATCCACAGGTGAGTGAAATGTCATTCTTGCTGACTGCAAGGCCCTTACCAAAGAGGGAGAGGGGGAGAAGGAGAATGTAGAAAATACAGGGAAGACAAATATCTCCTTGCCTTGATTTTAATAAAAAGAAATTGTTAGAAAAGACCATTTCTGCCAGCAAAACTAGAACAAAGGCATTTTGCTCCCTAGCTATTTCACTTTAAATTTGCTTTGGGCTTTTCAAAATTTTTCAGCTTTGCATAAATATAAATTGAAGGTTGTTGGAACTTTTTTCAGAGAAGGCCAAGTGCTATAAAATTAAATTGCATTCTGACCAGATTTAGCTAACATTTTGCATAAGTGACATTTCTGTAGACAAGTTTAGAGGGTTTTCAAAGTGGTCGTCTTCTGTTCCGTTTTCTTCTGCCCTCCTGACTAGCTGTCAATATTAGGAAAATGGGGATTGTTATTAACACTCTTGTTCTTTGAAAGTAAAGCATCATTCTGTCATTCAGATGTGCATTTTCATAATAATCTTTCAAGATCAATGATTACTATTTTATTCTTCTCTTCCTCAGAGAGGGTTTCTCAGAGAGGCTAAACCTGCATGAAAGCAGCCCTATTGTAATCAAAAGTGCCATTTCAGATCTGCAGAGTAGCCAGTGCAGACTCTACTTTCATTTTGGTTTAAGAGTGATTTATTTGGAGACCTCACACAAGCTGTGAGGATGATACCAGCATGCTTAGCAGCCACCACCTTAGAGGAGAGCGTAAGGACCATCTCTGAACAGAAGCTTTCAAAAAGAGCTTGGTTAGTGATTTGACCTGTTAACAACAGGAGAGAATTGTGACTTTGCTGCCTCTTCAGCACTACACACATACCATGAAGGAATGAGTGACTCAGATACATGAGGGAGAAGACATGTAAGCCAAAAATAGATGTATACAGAAGTCCTTGCCTGACCACAAACACATTTCAGGTTGTGGCTCTGTCTTCCCGGTAGTGTGCTTAGTAGAGTAACTCTGATTCTAACTGACCCCAACAAGTCTGCTTGCCAAAAGGAAGGAGCAAGATCAATGCTATTCTTCCTACCCTGTTAAGTGATGACAAAGGTTTTGTGCCAAGGGAGTACCCGCACTTAAGTGCGATGGTCACGGTGAGTCACTCTGAAGCCACAAGCACTAGACACACTGATGTATCCTGTTTTTTCTTGAGCAGACATTGGGCTAGATTTTGCTTCTGTTTTTCGTGATTTACACCGGTATAAGCATACAAGCAGCTTGGAGAAAAGGTCTCCTTACATTGAGCCAACATCAGTTAAATATAGAAATAATATAGAATATAATATAAAATAAGCATATACAACAGAGTAATTTCTTCTGAGCTGCTAAATCCTTTCTTCACTACCCTAATATCTGAATAATTGCAGGCTTCACCAAGTTTTTATTTAGATTTTGAACATTATCCAGTAAACACTGGCAGCATTAAACTTATAGATTCAATGCAAATATAACAGAATAAAGCTTAGCAGACAGGCGCTCAGTATACAATGATAAGATTTTCAGGCAAGTCATTCAGCTAGGACCACCTGATCAGAGTATTTTCTGGAGCCACATTAATTGGCTCAGCATCCAGTCAAGCACCAGGGAATTAAAATTTCTGAAGCAGCAGTGGAAGAAGCATCAGTGATGGACACAGTCTCCACCAGCCCTGTATTGCTTTTTCTCCCCACAGCCTCTGGGCCATCACAGCAGGCTCAGGCCTGAACCTCTGCCCCAGGGAGCAGCAGTTCCCTGGGAGATGCTGTTTCCACTCAGCCATATGGGCATGGGGCACAAAGAGCCCCCTCCTCCCTCAACACTCCTCTACCCCCTCCAGAGGCACCTTCCAGGGTTTAGGGTCTGACCACAAGATACCCACCCTGTCAGCCAACAGCAGTGCTCTCTCATTCAGACTCAGAATAAGGCATCACTCCTCAAAAAGCATTACCTTACCTCCTCTCCATCCTCAGCACTCTGTAGCTCCATCCTGGGCTGGACTAGGCACATGCTAGTATTCATGTGAAAAGAGCCTGCAGTGAAATCATGAAGTCCATCCTTCCTTGAGGAAAGGAGAAAAGACAGGGACAGCAAAGCAATCCTCCCTTTGCATCACCCCAAGCCTCCAGGCAGGCTCCAGGCACAGCCTTCTCGCACCTTCAGTGTTGCCACATCACCTTTCTTAGAGGTCCTTCAAGAGAAGCCTAGCTCTGCTCTTCCCCTTGAGACCAGGTCAGGGGCCCAGGACAACCAAAACTATCTCCTTACCTCACCTTGCTAGGCAAATTCCTATCAGGGCTTCTCCCTGAACCTCTCCAATCACCCCATCCCTGTCAGAGGGACACCAACACCCCCCTCCACTCTCCCACCACTCCAACCTCCTCCCCCAGTTCCTCAGCCCTAATACCACGAGGCCACCCCAACTAGGGAGTGGAGGCAGACACCCAAGTAAGCACTAGGAGAAGAGGGAGGGAAAACTCTGCCTAATCCTGTACAAGAACAGTCCAGCCTGGGACAAAGAGCAACTCATACCTGAACTAAAAGTTGGGATTTGCAATAGATGAACCCTCTGGAGTGTCTTTCTGTTAAACCTGAGCAGACCCTGGCTCAGCTCAGGGATCTGACATGAGAAGGGTGATGCTGAACCCAGTTCCATCAAAGGAGCTCCCTCAGTTTGATTGGATTGGCACTGCAGCTGGGGCTGGCCCACAGCACAGGGCAGCTATGGGATGCTGTGGGAAGCGGCAATGGTTGCAGCTGGCAACCCCTCTGTGGTTTTGGTAGAAGCCTATGCCCATTTGTTACAAGGAGTGGTTGTTCTTCCCAATCCCTGGTTCAAAGGCTTGGAGGATTTACTTTAGGGCAAACCAAAATATACATACCTAGAGATGCTCAAAAGCATGTCAATAGTGTACATGAGCATCTCCTTGCTCCCGAAGGGTCAGGCCTACTGTTCTCCTGCACATCTAAAAAAGGCCAGACAGATAGATGGAAGGACTGCCTTGGCTGGCTTAGACATGGCCCCCCTGTGTTAGACCCAGTTCCTAGTGCTCTCAGCTCCCCTTTCCTTAGGACTAAAATGCACCCCCCTAGGAGCTGCGTACCTTCCTTAGAATGGGAGAATTCAGGTAAGACCAAATATGAAAACTTTCCTGTAGAGAGGGGCATAATGATGTAAGTGTACTGTTGTCTGGTTTTCATGGCCTTTTAAAGAACAGAGAACATGAAGCGAGGGGGATGTCTGTGTTGTATTAATCTTCACATCATGGCCCAGGGATGCACCCTCTTTTCCTTCTGAGAAATAAGTTGGCAGTAGGTTGACCAGAAGAGCCAGAGCCTCTCCTTCTGCCTGCACGTCTCCACACTCAGCACATGGCACAGCTTGTGCAGGGCACAGAAGCCACTAAGCCACAAAAGAGGACCTTAATAACCCTGGCTCCTAAAAGGCTGCAGCGGGGGGAGCTGCCCTTGCTCAGGACTACTGATTCAAACAAATACGAAGCAGAAAGATTTATACGGCTCACACACACAGCTGTCAGAGACAGGATAGTGGCTGGACTGGACCTCTGATCCGATCCCAGGAGGCAATCCCTTTATGCCTGAGGCCACAGTCTAGTTTGCATTAGGAACAGCAGTGGCTCCTGTGGGTGAATGGTTTATTTCAGGCTTCTGAAAATAAATAGAGGCACCACAAGGGAAATAAAAGTCTTCAAAGTAAAATTACTGGCCTGCTGTGCTTTTCCTTAGCAAGCTGTCTTTTGGCTGGGCTGACCACTGGAATGTGTGTTGCCCAACACTTCCACAGCAGATTTTTGGTGTTGTTTGGTACATTCCCCTCTCCCAACCCTAGCTATGTCTTCGAGTCAGACTACATTTTAATGCACAATATAATGTATGGTGACGATTAGCAGCTCTCCCAGTGTAACAACCTGGCAACTCCACAGTCTTAGCAACACAGGTCTATCTGCAGTGCCCATTTGTAACTCATAAACTGTGTTGGTGTAAAGCCGTGTTTTCTTTCTTTTTTTTTTTTTTTCTTTAACAGTGAAGCATTACCTGGTGAAATGCCCCCAGAACAGGTAGGAGATTACACTTCTCTTTACTGTAACCCAAGGCACCAGTTCTGGTTTCGTTTTGCTATGTATGCTGAAGAAGATGAGTAATGTTTTCCAAAATGCATACAGGAGGATAAGGAGTCCCAAGTCCATGACTCATGAACATGCCTGCAAGCCAGCATCTGCTGTGCATGATAAGGGAGATATACCTGGGCTATCTAGGTGGAGGTCCTGCAAGTTCTTCAGTGACAAGTCTCTCCTTGAGGCTCTGAATTGCTTTCTGGAGAAGCCTGCTTTCATCCTGCGTGGCTTTCTAGGGTTTCCAAACACCTCAGCAGATGGTAATGACTTAAACCATCCATGTACATACAACAAACCATAATGTTACCCAGTGATTCCTGCACCCAGGAACAGGGAGTGGGGCTCAAAAGCAGATTTTCTAGGCCCACAGTCTATTCCCAGCTGAAGACTCCAAGTGATGGGAAAAATTATACTTCTGCTGCAGTCATTAATCACCTTCCCTTTAAATACCACCAGCTGCCAAAAGTTTTTGATTGTGTGGTGTGATAAAACTAATTTCCATTGTATGATCTTCTCGAGATATAAATTGTGCTGGAATTGCAGTAAAAAAAAGATGACAGAAGTATTTTACAAACAAAAAAGATTAAAGAGGGATGCCTCATAACAACACAGAAGAACAGCTGTTTCCCAGTTTTCAGTGACATAAAACATGTGTTTGTAGCTTGTAGTTTAAATTCAGTACAACTTGGTATCACAGATACTATTTCTCATACTATTTCTCTGTTTAGATACTATGAGATTCAATGCCAAGTATAGCATATCCTAGATCCTCAAATAGTGTAACTTTTAGTGCATTCTCATGGTATTATTGCTGTGTTCAATCTAACCAACACTCGGATGTAAGTGAAGTCACAACAAAGCAATAGGGTTCAAGAGAGGCCAGTACAAACTGAAACTTTCATGTTATTCATGGAAAGATCTTTGTTCTGTGACCCTGACCAGCCATTCCACCACACCAAAAATTTAGAGAGACAGCTCAGCAGTTTTCATTTTTCCCTGAATGTTTTCTCTTTCTTCTTCATTAGCTGCTGGAAGTTGGAAGTGCAAAAACAAAAAAAAAGAAGCGGGAGGGGGAGGAAATCAAAGTAGATGATTGGTAGAGAACACAAGAGGAGGAAAAAAAACAAGGCCCGATTGAAAAGTTGACTGAAAAAGTGGAGCATGGCAGTCAGATAAAAAGACTTGTAATACAGAATCTGCCTGTCTGGGAATACATGATGTGGTAGTGATACTACTGCAAGCACTAAACTTAGGAAGCTCAATAGCAGGGGAAAACAAGCCAACATGATTTTTTCACTGTAAAATGGAGTCTCTGGAAGTGAAAGAAATGCATGACTCTACATGGATAAAAATAAGTTTTCATGTATTTCAGTGTGGCAAGATACGCTAATGAAAGCCCTGATCCCACAAATGCATGTCTGAGGTGCATTGACTTCAGGGCTTTAAAATTAAATAGCTGTGAAAGTATTACCAGTATCATAATTTTTGTTATGTTTCACACTTGGTACCATTTATTTTCCACCCTCCGCTCAAAACACAAACGATTAATTCCTTTGAACTCACTTCTCTTCACCTGCGCATTCCTTGTCTCGGAACTTAGTTCAACATATTTAGACCCCAAACCCAGTGTCTAAATATCCATTAGGCCAAACTGATGAACTAATTTGCATGAGATTCCCACCAGTCAAAATGACTACGCTGTGCAAAACTCAGCCTTGATTAGAGAGGCTCAGCCCCAACTCCCTTAGTGGTATTTCAAACTCAGAGCAGAATCCGATTTCAAAATTACATTAATAGTCCGGTGTCTAAGAAATGTCTGTACTCCCACTGCAGTAATACCTAAGCACCTTAAAATATTTCATGTCTTGACATCATAATGGTGTTTTTACTTAATTGGAATCTGAAGCACAAAGGGCTAAGTGATTTGCCCCAGGTCTCACAAAATGGCCATGGTAGAAAAGAAAATTAAATCCAGATTTCCTGAGTAGAACAAAGCAAATGTTTGGGTTTTGGTTTGCTTCTTGACCAATAACACATTAAGGAAAAAAAATGAGTTTACCAAAAACTATTTCTTTCCCACATTTTAAAAATAAATACCTAAATAAAAAGTACAGTTATTTTGGGCTTTCCAAACCACCTAATTCTATTTTCTGGGGTTTTCTTTCTTTAAATATCCTCCTTATTATTATCTTCCTTGTTATTAGCTCATTTTGTCAGTTTTCAGATCCAGAAACCCCAAGGAGGTGTAGGTTTCAAAATAGGAATTCTGTCTTTTATTTATTTGTTTTGGCCTGAACTCTCCAGTCCTTCAGTGACTGCTCTTCTGGAGGCAAATAATTTGAGGTGAAAAAGTGAAAAGCTTTGAGAAAGCTGTCCATCTCATGCCTTGGTTCCACGGTGCCGATCTAACAGCGTAGGAGCAAATTCTGCCAGGCTGAACCAGAACCAATTACCCAGTCCTCCCCTGGTGCCTTCTCACACAGCTCCCCTATTTGGAAAATATCAAAGCAGCTCCCAGTTCACTCGGGTGAATTTTTTGTCATCCGCCTGCAGACAAGAGGGAATAGCTGACCTATACAACCACAGGAAAAGTCCCACATCCTTGATTCTAATAGGGATAGTAAAGCCCAAAATTGCAATAGTTTGCCAGCTCTTGGGACAAAATGTTCCAGAAATACCAGCCATGACCTCTAGGGAAACTGCTGTCCTGGTGCCATGATTGTTAGACACCTTCCACAGTTTTTTCCCCCAAACTCCTGTCTTTTTCTTTTTCTCTAAAAACTCATTAGATCATTCAAGAAATGCACAATGTGACACTGTTGAAATAGAAGCCAGGAGGCTGAAGGAGGAGCTGGAGATAAAAAACTAACTTTCCTTTTAGACATGGAACAAGACAAGCTTACAAAGAGGCTGTGTTTCAGAGCCAAGGAGTCTTTTCTGAGCCTCCTTGTTTGGTTTGAGGAGCTCAGTTCTAAGACAGCAAGTATGGTTATTGTATCTCCCAGAATCAGTTAACCCTGTATGGCCCTGGCATTTAAAAGAAAAGTGTAAGCTACAAATACATTTCTCTGTAGCTTCACTTTTTCAGTAGCAAAGCAGGACAATAACTAATGCAATGAATTGACACTAAGCCTTTTCATATATCGTGCTTAAAGTAGCTGTATCAGAATGATAGTATCTTTAAGCTACACATCTGCCTTAATGACCTTGGATTATTAAAACAAAAAACATTAGAAAATCATTCTCGTCCCCTTTTTGGTAGTTTGCTGCAGTTTGTTGTGTTTGGGCAATGGAGCTAGGCAGGACAGTTTCATTTCCTGTTGGTTTTAAACAATTTCATGTTTTGATTTTAACATAGAAACAAATGGTTGTTGTGGGATAGGTTCACAATAGTGCAGGCAGACTTGGAAATTATTTTAATACAACCCTTAGTTTACATAATTGATGTGATTTATTTATAAATCATGAAAATATTTTACCTTTTAAACACTTTAAAAAACATTTGGCAGCAAACCTATGTTTTGGACTGAGTATATGGAACAGAACTCAGGAAAATCAGCAAATGAGAGGCTTTTTGTAATCTACGCAAGGGTATATCCAGAGTGATTTTACCAATGGTAGTGACATTCATTTGGATTTACAGCTGTGTAAAATTATAATGTCTGTTATTTTGTTACTCTTGTGTGGGCAATAGCAGAGACATCTTAACTTTCATTAAGACTTTGGCCCAGTTTGAATATATTATTCTATTAATATAAAGGGAATGTTTCATTATGCAGAAGAACCTGGAAAGGAACAGCAACTTGGGACAAATGATTTAAAATTCAGTGAATTCAGTGCTGTCAGTGTTGTGACTATGGAGACCCTGGTTGGATCCCATTGTGTGGTGTAACTCGCCAGCACAGAACAGAAAGGTCCCCACAACCATACCGCGTTCATCTTTCCCAGGGCAAGCCCATGGTCAGATGCATCTGAGCAACAACTGCTTACCAAGTCACCTCCACCACCATAGTCATCATAACTAACTGCTATACACTCTCCTCCCACCCCAGCTGTAAGTTGAAATTTCTTTCATTACCAGTTAAGTCCATACAATTTCATTTCATGTTAGCTGCAAGCTAGGAGCGCCTGCACAGTCAGTTACCACAGCTCAGCTGACACATGGTGACAATCGCTGCAACCTGACTGCGTATCCAAGCTCTAAATATTCAAAGCAGGATATACTACCTCAGACTTTGGGAGATGCTGAGGGTAAAAAACCCAGACTTAGAGGATGTTAAACTGTAATAGTCCAAACAGAAGCTTTCTTGGACAGGAGTCTGTTTACTGTATAGCTTGTACTCTTCCCTCATACCTCCTAGTGCTTTTTCAGCATGGAAGTACTGGAGAATGTTTGAGTTTAGAGATCAGGGCACAGTTTCTCCATTTTAGATTCACTGAGCACACCAGCCTCTTTTAAAAACCTAGCTTTTTCAAATGTGGGTTTGTGAGCTATCTGAAGGCATGCTGCACACTCTCCTGGCCTGCTGGCCCCTCAGCCAGTCTTAGCCCAGAAACCACATCGAAGATTTGGCTTTGCCGTACGCTTTCCCTGTGAGCTTACGCAAGTCACCTAACCCATCTGTGCCTCCGGCCCTTGAGGACAGAAGGGTACAAGCTCATCCTGGGTGCAGCAGTGGGGTCATACATGTTTTTAAGGAATAGGTGCTATGAAATGAGTCGTTTAAACCTGACACTTTGCATTTTCTGTGCCAGGGCAGATCAGACTCCTGAGTTTCTGAGCCAGGCTGTATGGTTGAAAAAATGCGAGACCCAGAGCATTTCCAACCCCTGTAAGAGGTTTTTCAGTATATCCCCAGGTCAAAATGCAAGTTGTCAGGCAGGGACTCTTACAAGTGGAAGGTGATGTGTTTGCATGAACTCACTGGGACA